CCGACTCCTCCTCGGGCGACGACGCGCCGAGGAAGAAGAAGCAGAGGGCGGGGAAGGCTTGAGTACGGGCTGAAACAGCGCCCGGCAGCTCCGACGCAGGAGCCCGCCCGCCTCTGCTGGAACAGATTTTGGCGACGACCGCGTCGCACTCCGCTGTCCCGGTGGATCTGCGCGACGGACCCACCACTGGGTTTTGGGCTGCAACAGGCGCGCGTGCTGACGGCGTCGCCCCCATGACCTGATGAGGGCGCTCGCCGGATTTTGCTGCCCGCTGCCCTCGCTGGGCTGATGGCGAGGCGGTGGCCTGTGCAGCCCCGCGACGCTCTGCGCTCAGATAGAAACAGAGTCCGCCGTCATCCCTCCGTCGCCACTCCGCCGCCCTTGTCCCGCGGCGCAGGCGGCGCGCAGAGTCAGGGTGCTTACCTTTCCAGAGGGTGCCCTTGCATCCTTCGCTTCTTGTTTTGGCGTTCCGTTCTAGAGCTTGTGAGCTTGCTAAACGACCGCTACGATGCCGCCGCGGCCCTGGCGCCCCTGCGGCGCATTCTAGGGGCGTGCCGGGAGGGGGTGCAGCAGGGAAGGCGCGGGAACGGGCGGGGCAGAGGTGGGGCGAGGGACAGGCGGCGGGTGCTGCGTGATTCAGCAATGCTCCGAGGGGCGGGCGCTGGGGGGGAGGGCGGGCCCTCGGCCGTCTCGGTTCAAGGGCCTTGTTAAAACCAGAGTGGCGCTTCGGGGCGAGACTGCCCTCGACGGGCCTCCGTGGCGATGGCTCCCAAGAGCCTCGGTGGTCGCGACAGGGGCAAGGCGAAGTTCTCGAAGCGGGGCTTGTATCTCGAGGGTGACGGCCAGAAGAACAACGAGACGATGGGGGGGCTGAGGGATGCCTGCGACAGCACCATGGCGAGGGCGCAGGGGGGGGGGCCGACCCAAAATGTTGCGCTGGAGAAGGTAACGGCTCCAGGTGACGTGGCCGAGGCCAATTGCGCGTGACACTTGCAGTCGGGCCCTCATGACGGCGCTGGGCAGCAACTGGAAGACGTGCGCGACCGAGCCTGCGGGTGTGCAGGGGTTCGCGCAAGAGGCTGCGGCAGCTGGGGGTGCGCGAGATGAGGGCGCTGCCGCTGAGGGTAACCCTGCAGCTCGCCCTGAGGAGGTGATTGGGGAGGCGCTGTTTCCCGCCGCGGAGGGGCTCCCTGAGTCTTCGCCGCCGGCAGCTGCCCGTCCCGGGGCTGCTGGTCCGAGAGCGGTGTCCAGGGAGGGTAGTTGCCATCTACTTTCGCTGGAGCTCGAAGCGGTCGGTGAGGCGTGCAGCGCCAGAGAGAAGGGCAGGTGCGAGGGCCTGGCATGCGAGCGCGACGTGGAGTGGGCAGCAGGGGAGCTCGGCCAGGGCACTTACTGCAAGGTCTACTTTGGCACGCGACGGGGCGACAAGCGTGGCCTTGCGATCAGGGCGCTGCGGGGCGACCCCCGTGATGCGGTCAAGGGGTTCAATGCGGATGCCCGCGGAGCGGCTGATGAGGTCAGACGCCGCGTTGCTCTGGGCGCGCACCCGAGTCTCGTTCGCTCACTCGACGCGGGCCTTTTTCAGGCAGTTGTCCGCCTCTGGGGCGGAAGAACTAGAGCGCTGCAGCGGTCGCAGGGGTCCCGTCCAGGATGGAAATGGAGGAATCACATCGGCCTCGCGTTCGACTTGTACGAGATCGACGTGCGCCAATTCCTCCAGAAGTCTTCCTTCGCGGAGTCGGGGATGCGCCGCGTCCTGAACGGCGTTCTCGACGGGCTCCAGTGCAAGCGCGACAAAGGCTGCGTTCATTCCGACGTCAAGCCCGCGAACATCTGGATGCGAGGATCGGCGCAGTCGCGCGGTTGTTTTGAGAACGGGCCGCTGACAGCGCGGGATCTTGGCCAATGGGATCCCGTCGCGCCTGGCCCCAAGAGCAAGCTGGAGTTCGAGCGCCAGATCCCGAGATCCTTCGAGGCGCTCGGGTCCAGCGCCCGAAAGTTAGAACTAATATGGACTTTACTCGAGGTTTGACGCAGCATGTGCAAGCGTGCTGAAGTAGAGCTCTAATGTATCATGTTTGAGCTCCCAGGGAGATCTAACGCGGCATGCGGGAGCTCCCATGGAGCTCTTAGATAGCATGTCAGAGCCCCATGGGAAATCTAATCTATCAGGTAAGAGTTCACTAGCATAGCATGTTAGAACTCAAAACGTGCTCTGACACTTCATGTTAGATCTCACACCGAGTTCTAACAAGGTAGGTTCCAGCCTTCCCCCGAGAGGTCGTCGTCGTGCCCTCGATCCCGCCCTTTCCCCCAGACGGAGCTCGGTCGGCGTCGCTCCCTCCGCAGGTGGTGATCGGCGACCTCGGCTGCGCGGGGGTGGCGAGCCCCCAGGTCAGGTTGGTGAAGGAACTGCGCTCCACCGAAGACGACCTCGGAGCGAGCGCGCCCAATTGCAGACCGCCAGACGTCTACCTGGGGAACTGGCGCTTCCAAGAATACCTGGACATGTGGTCCTTCGTGTGCGTTGCCGTGGACTTGGGCGCGCCAGCCGTTGTTCCTTGTTGCAGGGGGGCCTGCGCCCGGGCCCGAGCGGCCAGCGGCTCGCCCGAAAGCGTTCGTGGCTCGCATCAGGGAGATCTTGGGGGTCCCAGGCCTCGAGCCAGGGCCCCGACGCTGCTGGCCGCCGGGGGATCCCGCCACGTGGCTGGGCCCCCTGCCTCTCTTTCCGAAGTGGTGCGGGCTGTCGGGCGAGGATTGGCTAGAGGCTGAAACAGCAAGGAAACTCGACGGCCGAGGAGAGTTGCCCGTTCGGGGGCTCGAAGGCCGCCCCCCGGACTTCAAAGAGATCGCCAGACCTTCAATCAGCCATGCGAGAGCGCGTCTCTTCCCGCGGCTGCCTGGCGCCCAGCTTCGCGCCCGCGTGCCCCTGCAGCGGGGCAGGGGCGGCGCGGGAACGATAGCGGAGGCAGACCTCGACCCAGACGTGCTCCGCCTCTTGCAGACATGCCCCTGCTGGGGCACCCTGGCCAAGGAGCACCTGGACACGGGGGCAACCGCCCCCAGATGCGTCCGAGGGGGCGAGGCGGCAAAGGGCTGCAAAACCGAGATCCCAGGCGTCGTGGGCGACGAAAGCCCTCCGAAGCGCCGCAGGCTCAACGGGGGCAGGGCCTCGGAGCTCACCCCCTCGGACCGCTTCGCCGTCTTCGCGCGAGCGATGCGGAGGAAGTGGCGCCCGTGGCTGCAACGGCTGGGGGACAAACTGCGCGAGGCGATCGCCGCCGACAATATGCCAGAGGCCATCAGCGAGAAACGGAGCGCCCGTCCTGAAAGAGAACTTCGCCGACAACGCGTTCGCGTGCGCATCGATGCAGCTCGTGCGACCGGGCGCGCGGGGCGATGGTTGACGCGCAGATGGCGGCTGCTCCTTGCTGCGCGCTTTTCGGGGCGCGCTCCGTCGAAGTGAAGATCCTAGGCAAGATGCGGGTCGCCCTCGAGCAAAAGCCTGGGCCCTTCTACGCGGGCTATCTTGGTACCACCCTGGACCAACACGGGGCCCAGTGGGACTTAGGGGTACTTTCGGTCAGCTTCCAAACAAATTCCCGCCTGCGCGTTCGCTGTCGTATGCTTGCTTATCGCTCCTTTTTTTTTTTTGTTTGGGTTTTCGCCGCGCAGCTCAAACTGCCTCGTCGACATTCGATCACCAACATACCAGCGACGCGTGACAACATATCGCCAACATCAACAAGTGCTCCTCTCTTTTTGTTTTACTTCTTGTGTCTGAGTTTGTTTGTCCCGCAATCGCGGTGCATATTTGTATCTTCCTCGAGGTCACGGCTTCCCCCACCAGGCCGCAGCCAGGCGCGGCGATTGCCCCCAAAGGTGGTTCGTTCGCCCGTTCCTGACGGGCCCCCTCGCCATGGCGTTCTTTGCCTCTCGTGCTGCCCCGTGTCCCAGCGCCGCCCCCGCCTCGCGCGCAGGTGCTTTTGCTCTCCGAGTGCTGCGGCGGATCGTCCCCCTGGGCTTTAAGCTCTGCCACTGCTGATCTCAACAATTTTCTGCACGCCTCCGCTCCTTTTTTCGCCCGGCCGCGGGCGCTTCCTCGCTGGCCCCCAGGGGGAGGCCTTGAACCCCTCTTGGGGCATTCTTGGGTTGTCTTGGTTTTTGTTTTGGGTCTGGGCAGGATGGTATTCTGCCCCCCCCCCCTCTCCCCCCCCCCTCCTGTGACCCTTTCCCGACACCCCTGGCAGGGCTCCTCCCGCGCCCCCCCCCCCGCCAGGAAAGGATGAAAGGAAGAGCTTCCCGTCGACTCAAGAGTGTGGGTGGCGAGCTTGTGGAGGGCTCAGTGAAACGAGGGGGGAAGTTGCGACGGGCGCAGGAGAACTCTACGACGGGTTTGTGGCAAAGGGATGACAGCGGCGACGGCGTCGGCGACGACGACGACTACGCCGACGAGAACGGAACAAACGGAACATCGTGTCACACGCCGACAGGGTTCGCGGATTGTTACGTATGTAGGTGCTTAGGTTTTTGTATTGGTTTGTTTTGTAATGTAAGGTATTGCGTTGTTTTGTTTTGATTTGCATTGTGCTGTGCTGTGTTGTTTTGTGCTGTGTTGTGTTGTATTGAAGTGTACTGTATTGTATAATAATGTACTGCATTGTCCTGTCTTGTCTTTTTGTGTCTTGCCTTTCCATGTCATGTATTGTGTTGTATTGCATTGCATTGCATTGTATTGGCACGTGCTGTATTGTATTGTATCGCATTGTATGGCATTGCAGTGTATGGTATTTTATTGCACAGTATTGTGTTGTATTGTTTTTTGTTTGTGTTGGTTGTGTTATGTGTTGGTTTGTATTGCAGTTTGTGTGTACAGTTACATCGCTATTTTCAGGAAAATACAGTTCTGTCTATGTATGGATACATTCGTGAGCATGCAATTCTCAGCAACACGTTGGAGGTCTATATTCTCCTCCAAGCATCAATTCGCCTTCCAGCCCCAGTGCCGCCATAGGTGACTGGGACTGCCCTTCCTGCGGCGACCTGCAGTTCGCGCGCAACATGCAGTGCAGAAAGTGTGGGACCCCGAAACCTGGCATGGCAGGCGCCTTGGCAGAGGAGGACGGAGAGGAGGAGTGTGAGGCTAGGGAGGAGGAGGATGAGGAGGAGGAGGACGAGGAGGAGGACGAGGATTAGGACGAGCAGGGGGAGGAGGAGGAGGAGGAGGAGGAGGAGGCGGAGGAGCAGGAGGAGGAGGAGGAGGAGGAGGAGGAGGAGGAGGAGGAATAGCAGGACCGATCTTCCAGGGCAGAGTATGAGGAAATAGTATTTGGAAACGGAAGAGGAGGAGGAGGAGGAGGAGGAGGAGGAGGAGGAGGAGGAGGAGGAGGAGGGGGAGTAGGAGGAAGATGGCAAGGAGGAAGACGAGGACGAGGACGTTGACGATGACGAGGACGATGGCGAGGAGGGAAGCAGAGCGCAGAAGGAAGATGATGATGATGATGATGATGATGATGATGAGGAGGAGGAGGAGGAGGAGGAGCAGGAGCAGGAGGAGGAGGAGGAGGAGGAGGAGGAGGACGAGGCGGAGGAGGAGGATCGACGAGAGGGCGGAGGATCGAAAAGGAGAGACATGGAGGAGGATCGAAGGAGGAGAATCGAGGCAAGCGGCGGAGGAAGACCAGGACGATGTTTGGCACCTTCTGCCCTTGCAGGCTGCTGTTTTGTGCTGGGAGTGTCTCTGGAGGCCTCTAGGGACCTCTCCAGGGACTTTGGAGACTTAGGAGGCTTCGGGAGAGGACGAGGGAAACGAGGGGGACGAGAGAGGAGGAGGACTAAAGGAGGCTGGGGCAAAAGCGATAGATAGCGAGCGTTTGTCCGCGGCCGTTTGTGCTCAAGCGGCCGACCGCCAAGTTATGATTGTGCCTCATCGCGACGCACACTATTTGCCATTGAGATCGAAAGCGTTTTCGCTTGACATGGCCCGTCGCTCCCGCGACGATCACCTACATATGGGACTATCGTTACAACGGTACACTAGAGTTGGATATGGGCTTCGCCTTAGGCGAAGCGTATGGTTGGGCTTCCCACCCCGTTCAATTTGGTAGCGGAGCTGGCCTATGGTGGTCAGCTCTAGCTCTACTCCTCACCATCCACGGCGGGACGATCTGGTGGACTACTGACATGGTAGAAAATCAGGGTGCAGTGGGTTTGCGCGGAGGAACGTACATATCTACGCACAGCCGCAAGGACACTTGCAGCGCTACTTCCGCTGTCGCGGAGGCCTCTTGCATGAGTCTTTCTTCCCTGCGCTACTACACTCCTGAAGTCCACCCTCCAACTCCATTTCTTTTCCGAAGACGCCATGCATGGCAACATGCGATACGACATTGTGCCGCCTCCACCCCCGCGCAGGCTAACGACAGCACGCCGCAAACCCCAGCCGCGAATGTCCTACCACGACCTACGGGGCCACTGTGTGATAGATGGGCACATTCGTTAAATATAGGTTCAGCACTTAGAGGGCGAGTCCAGTTCTGACCGTGATTCGCCCTGTGGCTCAAGGGATAAACATCTGCTTTCTCCTCCTGCTGCCACAGTTGGTAGCGGAGCGCGGTCCCGGCAGGTGGCCATGGGCAGCGGCGGGCAGCCTTGATCGGTGCGCCCGGCCCCCTGCTCGCGAGCCACTGCCGCGGCTGCGCTCGGCGCACTGGGAAGTGTGGGGATCCACGGCAGGTGCCCGACGACGGAGTGACGGGCGAGAAGGGAAGCACTCCCGGCGACGGTGAGAGGGGCGGTGGGAGCGCGGCCAGCGCGGCGCCCCCAGGACCGACACCGCCAGGAGTGACACCTGAGCTCCTCGAGCTAGTCAAGAAGTTAGTCGCCACGACTATGAGGGAGAACCAGACTCAGGAGTCTCAGGCAGCAGGACGACGTGTGCAGACGTGGAGCGGCTGGAACGAGCCCAGTGCCGACCCATGGTCCACCCAGGACCCCTGGTCGCAGGCTCAGCCAGGCTGTGGGGCCCAGGCGTCCCCGGCAGCCGGCTCGGCCGGAGACGGCTCGGACCAGCAGCAGGATCAGAAGAACGGCGAGGCAGCTCGGCGCTGGACCAGCGACTGGGCCGCGGGCAGCCAGGGTGCCGGCGGCTGGGGCGCTGGCGACTGGCGGACGGCCGACCAGAGCTGGCCAGGCCAGCAGTGGAGCAGCGGCGGCTGGCAGCGCGGGGACTACTCGGACCCGCCAGCCTTCCCCGGCTGGGCGCACTACCGAGGGTGGCGCAAAGCCGTCCGCCGCTGGGACAAGAACACGGACGTGGCAGTCTGGCGCCGGGCTGAGCGTTTCCTCAAGCTTTTCGATTGGACGATGCAGTCTAAGTTTGACGACGTGCCGGAGGCGGACCTCTCAGGTCCAGGCTGGCTGGACATCCTCATCGGACGGATGGACATCATGGCAGGAGAACGAGAAGGGGATGATCTCCGACGCGCCGGGAGAAAGGCCCTCTTCGAGGCCACCCGCGACGCCAAGGAGACCCTCACCGCCTACGTGCGCAGGCGTGAGGCCCAGCTGCTGGAGGCAGAAGGGCACGATCTCTGGATGTCGCCCAAGCTTAAAGGACTATTTCTAGAAGAAGGTGCGGCACTCTCGGCCCAGGGTGCTCAGAACCTTCGGACACTCACTCAGGGGCGACTTGACTACGACAACGTGGCGTGGGCGTTGAGACAGATGGACGCCTGCGGATCAGAGCGATTGTTACCAGGGGCTCGCGGGGCGAGCGCTAACCTGGCATCCAGTACTGAGGGCTTCGGCCCGAGACGTGAGGTAGGACCCAGTGGCAGTGCAGCTCACTCCTTTCCCTCTGCTCCGGTCGACGGTGGTGACGGTGGTCACGACCAGGAGTCCGACGGCGAGGTCGAATCCTACGACTACTACGACGAGGATGAGGAATGCGACGACGACCTCGACGAGGCAGCACTACTGGCCGAGATCGACGATCTCAACCTCACGGAGGACCAGGTCGACGACGCCCTGATCATGCTCACCAACGACCGGTCTTGGAAGCAAAACAAGGAGCTGAAGAGGGCCGCGAAGCGCGACAGGGAGTACTTCGGAGGCAAGGCCGGCGGCGATCGTGTCCAACCTCAACCTCGGGCTCACCCTGCCGGGCGGGGCCGGAAAGGAGACCGAGGGCGAGGAAAGGGACAAGGTCGCGGCCGCGGGTCCAAGCCCAAGCTGTCGCTCCAGCAGCTCATGAAGGTCACGAGGTGCAAGAACTGCGACAAGAAGGGTCACTGGAGCAGGGAGTGCCCAGACCCTCCCAGAGACCGAGCGAGCGGCCCCTCAGGACGCAAGGTGCTCAACGGCTACTCGTTCGAGGGGTGCACGACCGACTCCAACGACTGGTGCACCCTGTCCTGCCCCAGCTGGGAGGAGGCCGAAGTCGAGCTCGGCTCCAGCAACGTCTACCTGGTCGCCAGGTCGACGCAGGGGCTCGTGGACCCCGGCGCCGGCAGCGATCTTGTCGGACTGGAGGCCCTGAATCGAGAGTCGCAGGCGTTGGCCGGTCTCGGGATGTGCTTCGAGGTCATCCCTAGGCAACATCGCAAGCCTAGGGCGGCGCACGGGGTGGGAGGTGCCGCCACCGTGCTCGCATCGATTCTCTTTCCGATGTGCCTAGGAGGAGCCTTCGGCATTGTCGAGACTACGGTGCTCGAGGACAATGTGCCTCACATCCTCAGCGTCAATTTGCTTGAGTTCTTGGGCGCAGTCATTGACTTGCCGAGGAACGAGATGTGTTTGGACACCCCGGAGCCCAAGGTCACTTTGACTCGTCTGGGTTCCGGGCACCGCATGGCAGAGATAGTGCGTGCAGTCTCGGGGCCGTGGGAGGTACCAGCCTCGGCCCTGAACAAGTACCCGTTTCTGTCGCCCTCATCTTTTCAGCTCGGAGGTCGGCAGGCACCGAAGATGCTGGCAGACGGGTCAGCGCAGCAGTACATCATCCTTCTCGTCATCATCCTAACAAGGCACCCAGGGCGCTTCAGAAGATCAAGGGCCAGGACCAGGACCAGGGCGAGCCAGGACTTCGGGGACTCCCAGAAGATCGTAGGTGCGAGCCAGGACTTCGGGGACTCTCAGAAGATCGTAGGTGCACTCTTGGCCACGGGGCTCCTGGGGATCTACACGGCGTTCGCCCGGGTCGTTGAGAGGATCGGGGACCACTTCCAGCCACGGGCTCAGCGAGCTTGTTCGGGCCAGGCCTCAGGGGTTCTTGGACAAGCTAAGGTGAAGAGGGCCGAGGACTACGACATCGGGAACAGGGGACTCGGAGCTCTCGAAGCCATCCAAGGCACGAGGTCCGTAGCTACTTTAGGCTCGAGCCTGCGCGATCAGCTTTCAGCACTTTGTCTCCGAGCCCGGAGACTTCTTTCACAGTCAACCGCGGCTTTCAGCCGCCATGAGGACGACGTTGATCATGAGGACTCTGGCCCTTCTCTGTATGCCGATGAGGGCGGCTGCCGGGAAGAGGAAGGAGCCAGGAGCGAAGCAGGCCACCGAGGAGTTCTTTGCCCGCCGCAACGTGGCACTCGCGGGCGCCAGCTCGGACAGCGATCAGACAGTAGATCCGAGTATGCCTGGGTGGTTGGCCCCGGTGGTGGGAGTGGCGGCGGCAGCAGCCCAGCGGCCGCCAGCGCCTCCAGCAGTGCCGCCCACGGCACCAGGGGGAACGACAGCGACACCAGGCGCGGCAGCAGCAATTGGCAGTCCGAGTCGAGACCCTACCGAGCTGCCGCTTCCCCCACCGCCGATAGCAGGGGCTCCGGCCGCTCCGATGGCGGTGGATGGGGGCGCAGCAGCAGCTTCGGCATCACCCACTCAGGCCGGGCAGCTCACGGGCCCGGCAGCCGGCAAGCCGCCCCCCAAGCCGTTTCCCAAGGTGAGCCCGAACGATTGCCCTCACACCCAGCCGGCGAGGTGCGTTACTACGGGAACCAGCACGGGAGCGCGAGCAAATGCACTCGCTGCGGAGAGCGACTGACATGGATTCAAGCGGGGGCCGGCCCCGCTGCACCACCAGCCCAGCCCTCCGCTGCGCAGGCGGCC